GTGGGGAGGGGGGGGATGGTTTAATGATACCACAAAGAAGCAATCAGCCAAATCTAAAATGTGATAAATCCTAAGGAAAATTGACCTGGTTCCTCCAACAAACTAATGGTATTTAAAAAAAAAAAGATGGGGGCTATTCTTAACACTTAGGCTTATTACTTAAATACAATGTATGGATTTATCTAGATATTAATTTGAATAACAAATATTTTTGAGACAATCAGGGAAATTTGAATATAGACTGGGTATTAGAGGATATTGGGAAATTGTTGCTGATATTTTTAGGTGTGAAAAATTGTATCGTGGTGATCTTTTTTAAAAAGAAAAATGTATGTTCAAGTATTTGCCAGGAAAATGATATGATATGTAGGGATTCTTTAAAAGAGTTCAGCTTATTAAAAAAGTGGAAGAGGCAGATAAAACAAGGTTGGCAAAATATCACTCACTGATCGCTGAAGGAACCTGTGCATTGGTTTTCGTTACTATTCTATGTATGTTTGAAATTTTCTATGATAAATATTAGTTTAAATGTTTTAAAATAAGGTTTCTCAAGTGATGTAAGATAAAATTTGTGCTTCACTGGAAAACTATGCATTTTGTAAACTCTAGGTGACACCCTCTGTAATATCTAACTTAGATTCTATCTGGGCTATTTCACAAGTCTGTAAATTATAGGTAACTGAGAGCGATGTCAAACAAGTCTTGTCTAAGAGCATACAAATTCTGTCTTACCTGATAGAGTTTCAGCTCACCTTGGTCTCTCATTATGGAAGTTCCTTTTGCCTCCATTTGCACGTTCATTTCAACATCCTTTACTCCATATAAATGTGTGCTGTTTTGATTTCTTCTTTGACCCTCTATGACATCTGCCTGGTTCCTTGTTTACAAGTTAAATAAAATCTTTCACACATGTTCATTTTTATATGAGAGTCCTAATTTTACCTTTTTATAAAAGTTATCTCTTAACAGTTATAAATAGTACATACATCTTTCTTGTGAAGCTAAAAGTAAATGAAATTAATTGGTATACTTCTGAAATATTATGTGCTAATGAATGTTTAAATAACTTCAGCATAAATCATAGGCTAGTTGTACAAATGTGAACTAATTCTTCCTTTCATTTTTGTTTTTATTTCTTCCTACCATTAGTTCCACAACCCCTTTGGAATCTTTGTACTGGAAACCTGGGTGCATTTGCAGTGAGCATGAGAGCCCACCAGAATAAAACATGAGTACAGCAAAACTGAAAACACTTTGAAATAAAAGCTAAGTAATATCTCCTGAAAACTTGTGCCAAGAATTCTAGAAATGTTATATATATCCAAGATACATTGTTGAAAGACACAAGCATAGCCTACATTATTTAACAAAAAGTAATCAAGTTTTAGTGTAGGCGTCTCACCTTACATGTCTACTCCACCATTTCTCCAACTTCATTCTTTTTCTTTCCCTTAATGATGCACTTTTTTTTTTTAAGACTTTATTGGGGAATTGAGGAAGGGGAACAGATAAGTTGCTGTCCTTTTGTTCTTCAGTCTAGCTGAGGAATACGTGGCTTCACTGGCCCATGTTGATGTTATCATTGCGCTCTTCTCAGGTGAGGCAGTCACTTGCAGGCCATTGGACTGCCGCTCACGGTGGCTCACGAAAGCTCACACCAGCTGCTGGCCAGCCCCAGTGCAGCCTACGCAGTTCCCAGCGACTCACAGCAGCCCAGCTCCCGGTGGAGCTGTTGTTCACCATCTTAGCTGTAGAGGGCACAGTGTCACTGACCCTCATGTGGGATCTGAACCCAGGCCCTGCTGCTCAAAGCCTGGCGTCCCAAGCCAACTCCTAACAAACGCGCCACTGGGCTGGCCTGATGTACTATTTTCTTCAATGGAACTAACTGCAGACATTGGAATTGCTTCACATTTTAGTTACAGATATCCACTGCTACCACTGCTACCTCTCGTGTCTTTAGGAGCCATCTCTCATGGCCATCTGGACTCCATGGGGATTCTATTTTCACTGAGTTTACTGGCAATTCATCAATCTAAATATTTTGTGTGTGTGCTTATGAGAGTTTCACAAATGCAGAAATAAAGAAATCTGGACTTCTTACCCACAGACAGCTCACTTCTATAGAAGGTACTACACATCGCTGCTACTGTAGTTATGTCCATGATCTCTCACTGGACTTTCTGTCCAATTTCAAAACACATGCTGATCACTAAGATAAGTAGAAGAATGTGCCATTAAATTGTTGCTCTAAGGCTCCTTCCAGGTCCAAGACAAAGGGGAGAGAGAGAGAGAGAGAGAGAGAGAGAG